CACTAAAACATGTTTACGGAGGAGTTTTTCTTAAAAGTTATTCACAAAGCCGCTGAGAGACCTACTCATATAAGGATAAATCACTAAGAGTGACGCGCCGTTGCTTATGGGATTGACGTCGATTCTCGTGCATGAGTTTTAGAAGCGGTCGTACGTGTGGATTGGTTGTTCAGAGAGGCGGTCTCGGTGAAAAGTCATCCGCAACATCCCACAAACGAGCCCACTAAATCACCGAAAAAAAAGGAAATACCTAGGCCTAGAAATGTATTCCCTATCAAATAGTTATGACAGTGCAGTTAGCCAGAATACACGCATGATGACAAGTTTGTGCAGACCACGATAAATGACACGTGTTGTATATGCAACGTTAAAGAGAGAAGCGCAAACAATAAAAATCCGTCAAAATGCATTAAACTCAAGGAGGGTCAATTAAAAGCCCCTGCAAACTAGTATCCCAGTGAGCATATTTTCCCAGCAACTAAACACTTTCAATAACAGCCCATACCGGCCGTTCAAGTCCCCCTAATCATGATGAACTGAAACAATCTGCGTGTTGATGGAATGACTTTTCGTTCTATTGACCGAAACACGTCCTCATCTTTTGATGGCACACGCAATTATTTTTATGTGCGTCCCGTCAATAGCACCGACCACACCGGGCATACCTGCAATTGCCATGAAGTTGGCTTTGATCCTGTGTAGTTGTTGATTGTCCAAAGGAAACCGGATAAACTGTTGGATGATATGTGGTCTAGAGAGCGCGTTGATGGTTTGGTTTATGGCACGGCTGACTGATGGTTGCGATATTCCTAAATCGTCGGCATTGCAAAGTTGCATTTTCCCTGTTGCTAAATATCGTAGTGTTGCCAAACATTTTATTTCCGGACTAATCGGGTTATTCCTGTTAGTCGGGGATGTTATCGCATCCCGCACTAATTCCACAACAAGTTTGATACCCTCACGATTTAGCCTATATCTCTTGATCAATTCACAGTCTTCCATTGTCTCCAAAACATTTCGTCTCGCAGCCATTTTCAGATTCTTTGTGAATAGGTCTTACTGAGTTAGGAGTCCTCTCGAGGACCTTTAAGCTCTCCTAAACTTAGGTGCTACTTTTAGGCCTAAAATACTTTGTGAATTGCTCTTAGTGAATAAAATTAGGAGTCCTAAATGTAAGACTGACACGCCCATTATTTTTAGGAGAATCTCCTAAATTCGCCAGTTAGGAGCTACTTTTAGCCCTAAAATCCTTTGTGAATACGGCCCCTGAACATCAGCAAGAGAGGACTCTTTAAAGTAGAGACACTACATACAAATATACACCTGAAAATGAGCATTGCAGGGCGCTTTATGATAAAAGGCTTAATAGGAATTGGTAGGTAGAGTATTGCTTACAGTTTTTATCCTAAGCTTGGCTAACCTCGTCCTGCTTTATCAACATACATTGATATCAATTGTCTCATATCACCCTTGGTAAAACTAAAATAAGCCTGAAGAAGTATTTCTTTAGCATAGCATAGAAAAATGCACTTTAGATATTATATTACAGAAGGTTTTGGTCTTTAGAGAGACAGTGGGATAAAAAGGGAGGTTGTGCTTTTCTTCACACTATTCTGCTTTTACCAAGTTGTGATGTTCTCAGTAATGCATAGTTGCAAGGTGTAACGTGTTTTACAGCCAAACAAAGAGGGCAATTCAACACAATCCAGAATGTGAAAAGTGTGACAGGAGTTGCAATCTATTGCATGCTGTCCTATTTAAGTGACAGTTAGACATAAGTGCCTTTACCATCATTTTAGCACGGCACTCCTTTCAAAATAGGAACACCGTGGACATGAGGTGAGAGGATGAACTGCTGGAGTTACAGTAAATGAAGAATAAGGAAATGGATGATAGATGATGAGAAAGGAAGGGTATGTTAGCTAAGAGGAAGCACGGTTTATCAAATATTTATTAACTTGAATGGAAACCCTTTTAGCTGCCTAGCGAGCCATTTCCATGAAATGGACAGGACCAAGGACATAGATAAGAGAGAATATCTGAGCTGTGAGTCTGATCTGGAGAGCATCAGTCAGACTTGGTTAGGGTTAGGCATGTGTTGGTTATGGTTAGGATAGGTCTCCAGGATATGCATGTAAGTCAATGTAATGTCCCCTGAAGTAATGTAAACAGTGTGTGTGTGTGTGTGTGTGTGTGTGTGTGTGTGTGTGTGTGTGTGTGTGTGTGTGTGTGTGTGTGTGTGTGTGTGTGTGTGTGTGTGTGTGTGTGTGTGTGTGTGTGTGTGTGTGTGTGTGTGTGTGTGTGTGTGTGTAGTCTGTCAGAACAGGAGCTGTTCACAGGTCAGTTCGGAGGGCTGGATTCTGGCTTCAACAGTGTGGACAGCGGCAGCAAACGCTGGTCTGGGAATGAGGTAAAACTACGTTCACTATACAATGCCCTCACATGTCCTGAGGAACTGCGTCATGTTGATCAGAAAGAAGTTATGTGAGTTCATGGTAAGAAATGTGCCATGGACTAAATATTCAGAGGACTTGGAGACATCACCCATTGGCTGGTGGACTGCTTTGAAGCCTCTGGTTTTGCTATTTGGCTAATGGCAATCTGTATTTTTTTTTAAACCACAAGCCTAACAAGAACTCATTAGGTGACCTAAATGTGACGTGAGTGGTGCAGTGATGAGTCCTAAAACCAGGAAGTTAGTTAGCATTTTACCACTTCCGGTTCCCTTGTCTCAGATGCAACAGCTTTTTTTAACTAGTTTTTGGAAAATAGCTGGAAATAAGGTCTGTGGTTGAGACCCATTTAAGAGACGGATCACGTTTTGTTCTGAGACATTAAATACATCAGCAGTGACCCCACTGGTAACTTTTGAAGAGTTTACGTGTCTGAAAAACGATGCTTGTTACCAAGTGGCTGAATAGGACTACAGAAGTCGTGGAGGACGCTGTACGTCATTACGCCAAACACGTAAACACTCCTCTAAGTTTGCTTGCTCTGTTCTGCTTGAAAGCAAGTACCTGCCTCCTGCAGACTGTTAGAACAAACGCTTCAACTTGTACAATTTTTAATCTGTATGTTTGAATATGGATCTTAAGTTGGCGTGAAGTTGAAGCAGCGACCCTGCTGTACTCGGCTGTAGTTCCTTTATAGCATAATGTTAGCATTTTGCTTCTGGCGATTAGATTTATGATTTGAAAATGATAAAAGTAGGGTAGACATGTGGAGATTATCCAGCTGAACAAAATGTGCGTTTAACAAACAGGTTAGTTTTCCACAGACCTTATTTTTTACAATATTCAAAAATCCTCTGGAGAAAACCCATTGCTTTTTTGTTGAGGGAACCCATGCGCAGCAAAGATACATCATCACTGCACCACTCTTTCGACTTTTAAAGGTAGACGGACATATTTGACAGTGAGACAATTCCATGAAATAATAAAAGAACCAAAAATACATTGACGGTGTGTCAAAATGTCATCCTGAATATTTCATTTTAAAAAATCACGATAGCCTAAATAGCGTCACACTGCTATTAGTGGTTGTATACACATACATATATAAACTATATATACACATGAAGATATTGTAAATATACACATGTACCTGCCTATCCAATAGTCTTAGCCCTGGACGACAGATCAATGTCTCTGAACTGTGAATGTGTCCAGTCAGCAGATGACTTCTCGGAGCGTTCCCTCCGGTTAGCTGAGGTCAGCAGAGACCAGAGGAACCTGGAGGAGGAGGAAGAAGAAGAAGAAGAAGAGGAGGAGGAGGAGGAAGAGGAGCATAGATCTCCTCTGGAAGCGAACAAAGGTGAGGAAAGAAGGCCATGTCTGAGCTATCGAACAGTGTTGTATACAAGATGTAGGTTAACACTCCTTTATGCTCTCTGCAGTGAATGGAGATGCTGGGCATGTGGACTTCATTGACAGCAGTGTGACAGAGGAAGAGGAGGAGGAGATGAGGATGCACCCCCCCACACCCCCCCTCACAGCTCCTCCTCTGGTAGCACACATTCACACACTGATCAGCAGTTGTGCCAGATTGTCTCGTGGCCTTCCTGTGATCTGAGAGCAGTGTTGTTGATTGTGACTTTGGTTTACAGGAGCAGAGTGAGAGCTCTTCCCCGTCCCAAAGCCACGACTCAACAACATGCAGGTAAGACACATGAGTCAGCAGCGCCTTTTATCAGTGCTGCCACTGCTCTGTGTGTACGCTCTGATTACTTTAGTTGAATATCTCAGGGTTTTTTTATTTATTTTTTATTTGATTGAAGGACAGGTACAATCTGAAGGTCACAATTGAGACAATGATCCTCCTTCCATAGTCATTTATTTCTTATACCTTACCATCACCAAACCCCACCCATCCCCTCCCACCCCTACCTTGGAAACACATACAGATACAAGTTAAATCAAAGAAGCACATAAATAAATACAATAAACAAATTATAAAAAAGCAGAGGCTGATAAGTAAATAAAAAGACAACTAAGCTGGTGAATAAAACAAAAGCAAAGACAATATTGAAAGGTGTTGAAAATAAATAACATTATGTACATTTCTGCTATTCGGTTGGGAGTGTCTGCACTGCCAGAAGATCTCAGGTTTTTCAGAAAGGCTCTGTCTCTTTAGGGGCAAAACAGAGTTTTTGTAAGCGCAACCAATGGTACAGGTTTGATGCACAAACCTGAAATATTGCGTTAAATTAAATAAGTGAAATAATAGTATGAGGTGCAACCTGTGCCAAGGTGTTCCAGTTGATCAGAAACACATTTCCCTAGTCTCTTTAACTGTATCTTTAGCCTGTTTCTGTGACAATCCTTCATCTTCATTCAGCGGTGTGTTGGTTTCTCTGCTGGAAACTGTGTACTCAGCCCCTCCAAGTGACAGACAGCGTTTTATCACTTGTCCTCTTTTTCCCTTCCTTGTTTTACAAGGTCACTTCAGAGAGTATTTGAAGAGCTGGGAAAAGTCAACAGTCCTCTGTTCCCATTAGTTACAATCCCCTCTCAAACTCTGCATGCTGCTTGTTATGTTGGGAAGTGAGCATGGTGACTTGCTGACTTTCCCAGACTTTTATTACAGTGTGGCAACATAACAGCTTGTCTTAATGTCCACATGTATTCTGAAAGCTTTCAGAGGAAAGCTCCTAGATACCACTAAATGTGTTGGCATGGAATCAGAGCAAAGGAATAAAGTGGAGCAAAATGGCTGATTATTAGGTTAAACATAACATTGATTGCAGCATTTTATTTTTTATAAACATACACCTAATGTTCTTATGTTGCTGTTGAGGCAGCTTCAGCACGCTGCTCTGTTCTCTTTTGTTGAGATTGAGTGTCCGGGCAGTCCTATTGGCTACATATCAATATGTGAGAGACAGAGCCATTGTTCTCAGCTTCTGGAGCAACATGTTTTATTACCTTTTTAAAATAAACTGTACCCTGTCAAATGAATTCCAAACTGAAAACCTCATTCAGGCTCATACAGTATACAGGACAGGACTTAGAAGTGCCTACGTGACTGACTGTCTGAGGAACATGAAGTTCAGCTGTCTCTATCCTGCATGTCCTCTTTAAACACTTTACAATCGCCTCAAACAAACGGATGTTCCGAATTTTGACTTCCAACACTTCCTTAGGGACTCCTAAAAATAGAGCACTGAGTCTTAAAATGGAAGCTGAACACACACATTCTGACCCCTCTTTTATATTGAAATGATTTCATGTAAACCCACCTACAGAATAAAGGAGGAAATCCCAAGACAAGCTTATTTGGTTTGGTTTCCTGATTTATTTTCTAGTTCTAACACTGCTTGTGAATGGATCCAGCTCAGGCACAATCTTCACATATAGGTACATAGTATATTTTGAGTCACCTAAAAACATTTGTATCAAATTGTTTAATATTTACTACAGCTTGGACTCCTGACTGGGGGTGTCTCAGAATAAATTGCTTTTTTTTTTAACCCCAATAACATACAGCCATTTGTTATCAATGTTAAGTGGTTAATGTAACATATATAACATATCATAATACCAGTTATTGTATCACACACAAAGTTCAGATTCAAAAGAAATGTGTCCACCCAACAAAATAAAAAAAACACATTTGGCATTCTTTAGTAGTTGGTTTTGAGGCTTTGATTGGGCGATGAGCTGTCAGTCACATCTGGCAACAGTACCTCTAAATGTATTTCTCGCTCTCCTCATGTATTCCTCATTCTATCATCTCCTTCCTGCAGCTGACAGTGGACTTGGCAGTAATGACTGGGAGAAATATTGACTCTTTCTCCCCCAGGTCCAGCCTCCATGTGGACGTGGGCCCCCCATCCTCGACCTCCCCCTCCCCCCTCCAGCCCTCCCTGGAGGAGCGCAGGAGGCCGGGCACCCTGTTCATCTGGCAGGAGAGAGAGCGCCTGCAGCAGCAGCAGAGGGACAAGGCCAGGTGGATTCATCTTTAAGATCTCTGTGATGTTAGAAAACCAGAATGTTAATCAGCATTTACCTGAAGGGTGTGAGCCCTTCATCACAGCAGAGGGAGCTTTAATGCCTTCTTATATAGGGTAGAAGTGTCTGAATGCATTGACCGGGTATATCACATGACACTAGCAACATAAATGCTACTTTATCTCCTGCTAACACTTTAAACACTGTGAACATGAGCGTTTATCTGTGGTCATGTGTTGATCTCCACACTAATGAACGTCTCTCTGTCAGAGGCAACTCCCTTCTGTCTGACATCTCTATTACACGTGCAACATGTCCAACCTCTACATTTGCAGTTTGCTGAAGTCATCCACCAAAACAGGAAGTCATGTGGCCCCTGCACCACAGACAGGAAGTAGCTCAGCGTAAGTAAGCTCTGAAGAATGAATAAACTAAGTAAAGACAAGGCTGATTTGAGTGACTCTTGAAGTTATAGTCACTTCCATCCATCCTACTGAGTCTATGCAGGAGTGCAGATGGAGGAAGGTTTGAGGGTGTGGGAAGTGTTTCCTGTAGTGATGAAACGTTGGTGTGTGTCTCCCCCTAGTGGTGGATCTCCAGAGAACAACAGCTCTCTGTCAGGGCTCCGGCAGCGCTGTGCAGTGAGTACTGATCTCTCTTCGTCATACACAGAGCAGGAGCTGCACAGATCACTGATGAGAGCTCACCGTGTTCCTTTTCCACAGAGTGCTGATCAGATGAGCGCAGCGCCTCCTCCAACACTTCTGCAGCGCTCCAGCAGCAGATCAGGTACACACAACCGTTTATAATGTATTAGTATTTATGACATACAGCAGGTAATAACACTTTTTTCAATACATTGTTCACAAGCTAAATGATTAGACGTAGTTCCTATATTATTAACTACATATTGTTTTGGTTAAGGACACTTTAAAGTTAGACCCTGTCACTACGAGATCTACAGATATTTAGCATTTATAAAAGGACAGTGGCTGGTGCTGTTACAAGCTTTGCTTTGTAAAAACTGAAATATTCAATATTAACAATTCCCATTAACTTACCAGTCAGACTAGCATACAACTGACTGCATACATAGAAACTATTGAGATTAAACAGTCATTGGATATAGAAAAAAAGTCTCATAACAAAATAGTATGAGCTATTGATCAGTGAACTTAAGGTCTTTTTTATTTTTATTATTCTGATACTTTATATTCCAATCAATAGTTAGCAGAAAACCTCAACCCACAGTCACCTTCAGAGACTTTTTCCTGTTGTGTCCTCCTCACCTACTCTGATGGAATTGTGGCAGAATATTCTAAAACACTTTTGTGTTGTCATGCCACATGTGCTCTGGAGGGTACCTTTCATACAATGTGTGACATTGAGTTTGTTTGTGTCAGATGTTCCGTCCTCCCCCCCCGGTCAGACCCAGAGACCCAACAGCTTCCTGTTCCGCGCCTCCTCCCGCACCAACGTCAAACCCACAGGTACACACCAACACAACACACGCGCTTTACACTTTCCTTCAACGCTGTGGAGACATTCCAACACTGTGGCTTGTATCTCTGTGTGTGTCAGTGTTCACTCTGGGGGAGTCTGGCAGGAGCGAGTCTCGAACCATGCTGCGTTCTCCTAAAGAGGAGAGGGCCGACATCACACAACTACGCAGGGTAAACAGCATAAACACTTATTTAAATACATTTGATATATTTATTGTAAAATGTGTGGATGCTAAACCAGTGATCTGAGGGCAGACCTTAAACTCCAGTATGTATAATAGTTTGACACACATATGCCAAACATGGTGTAGAATCCTGGGTTTAAATGCTGTGCCAGTCTTTTCATTAAAGTTCTGACTTCACCCCCCGCCCCCCCCCCCCCCCCAGACTCTGGAGTCCCGTCTGAAGGTCTCCCTGCCGGAGGATCTGGGCGAGGCCTTGACTAACGGCACGGTTCTCTGCCAGCTGGTGAACCAGATCAGAGTGCGCTCCGTGTCCATCATCCACGTCCCCTCCCCAGCAGTGGTGAGTGGGCTGTCTGCCTCCACTGCGATAAAACCCAACTTCTTAGTGTAGTACTCTTTTGCTGCTAGCTCATGGTGGCTAACTGACTTTAGGCAGACATTTTTGTGTTAGCTGACATGGTTGTGTCAGTTTGCATTTCTTCTTTAATGTTGAAGCAGGTACATGTATTTGCAGTCAAGAGAATCATGGGACAATGGGCCTTTTATCCTGCAGTGGTCAACGTTCAAAAAAAGGATTGTCATGCTCTCAAAACTGTTTAACTTGCACGAATATTTAGTGTGCATAAAGTAATATTACCTGCCCATTTGAACACACTGTTGATTCTTGAATAACAAGCAGGATTCAAACAGTGGTCTTAAACTGAGCAGCATGACAGAAAGGGAGAGAAAGGACGGTTAGCATGATCTGTGCTGTTATAACCCTAACTGACCTGAGTTCAGTTTGTGTCCCTTTCCAAGGCATGAAGCCCATCAGCACCTGTTATAGGAAGTGACAGTGATAGCTCAGCAGAAATAATGTGCTATCATTTATAAAGATAATCTCTATATACAGAGGAAACGGTGGGTGCTCTGAATACATATGATTATTTTTCTCCCCATGTAATAATACATTATTTTATACAATTTATTTTCAGCCAAAACTGAGCTCAGCAAAATGTCGACTGAACGTGGAGAACTTCCTCTCTGCGTGTAGGAAGCTGGGAGTCTCTGAGGTAACGTCTTTTTCTCACTGTCCTTTCGTTACATCTCTGCACTGTTTTACACACGTTTAAATGACAACATGTTTGAAAAAGGAAGTCAAGTGAAACAGAATTGTTCATGTGCTTTAAGCTCAGTTTTGTTGCTAAATTATTCCTGGCAGGGTTGGACTGATGTGTTGGAAAGTTTTTTGTACGAAATCAAATGTGTATTGACGGCCCACGCACCAGTCCAACCCTAACTGTTGTTCTGTGTGATCTTTTCTCTGTTGTGTCCTTCTCTCGTCTCCTAGTTTTAACAAAATAACTTCCTGTATTTCCTCCTGTGTGTCCTCGTCCCCTGTGCAGAGGGACGTGTGTGTGTGCTCTGATGTGCTTCTGTGTAAGCTGCCCGCTGTGCTGCGCTGTGTGAGGGCCCTGCTGGCTGCTGAGGGGGGGGAGACGGGGGAGGACCAGTCCCCCCGCCACTCCTCACCTTCGTCGCCATCGCCCTCCTCCTCAATGCTGTCCACAGACTTCCTGCTGTTCTACTGCGCCGTCATGGCCCTCCTCTACGTCCTGTACTGCTACCTGCTCCCCTAGAGGAGCAGCACACACTTCATATTCACTGCTGCACACACACACACACACACACACACACACACACACAGCTGCCACACTGGGCCTCTCAGACAATACTCCGCAGTGTGTTTCAGTATGCACACATGTCCTGAGAGTGTGTGTCCACACCCCACAGCTGCACTGACACAGAGCAGGCAGCGAGCACCTTCAGAACCAGCAGATACACACACTACATGAGCAGGGAGATGCCTTAGCCTCGGTTAGCCTTCACTCTGAGACACACAGCATGTTTACAGGAGTGAGAGGTGGAGCTGTTCCACACACAGACTCTGGGCAGAGCAAAGGAACCGCAGACGTTCTATGACCTGTTTCTTTTTACCAATCTGGGTTTAGGTGTATTGAAACTGCAGCCATTAGGAATATTTTAAAGCCAAATCATTTGTGGCTCACACCTCAATATCCTCCCTGGAATTTCTTTGAATTTGGCACATTGTACAAATAACTGAACATGGTGACACGTGAGGCGTTACCTTATAGTTCAAACTGTAAGAATCTGCTGCTCTCTCAACATGCAGCTGTGCTTTGTATATGCAGTGTTGGTTTCTGAGCACAACTATATACAGGGGCGCAATAGATGTTCTTGGCCACTTGGTGGCAGTGCATCCAGATGTAAACAAAAATGGGACATTATCACCTTATGAAGTGATATAAGCCACTTCAACTCTCCTTTTAGCTCTGGTTTGGTCTCCAGCCACTCAGAGCTGTGGTCACCAGCTAGCAACTGGAGTTAAAGAGACGGAGCACGGGAGTATCTACACCGCCAACATGCACACCAACATTGTGTCCAAGTGTATTACAGTTGGGTGGATCTTAAGAAAAAACGTGGCCATTAGTTTTACCATAATGGACGGCATTGTACTCACCAAGTAGAAAGAGGAGATCAGGTAACATCACTCTGAGGGGGTCCTAACGGGGGGGGGGTCAAGCGATCACAGTATAACACCTAAAACAGATTAGACAGGTGTATAGGAAGATGTTTCCCTTTTGAGATGATCTGTGTGTTCAGAGCAGCTCCACCTCTCAGACATGTTGGTCCCCGGCTGTGTGTCCGTAGTCAGACCCCTCCCTGAGAGACGCTGGAGGAAGCTTAAACTGAAATGTGAATGTGACATTTAGCCTTGAACCGAATGCATGTTGGCTCAATGTTCGGCTGTTCCAGTGAGACAGATGCTGAGTGCCTCTCTCTGAACACTCGCACCTTCTGCCCCTTTTTAATGTCTGCTGTGCTACCCGTGAGCAGCAGGGGGCGATGTCGGGCTTCATGTGTCCAAACGGTACAAACCCCTGCAAGGGAGTGTGTGAGTGTACATTTTGTTATTGTTGTCATCGGTCAGTTTGACCAGGTCACTTGTATAAATGTAAACAGGCTATTAAATTATTTCTTTTTATTTATTTAGAATTCTGTTCTTGGTTATTTTGTTTCAGGTGAAACGGCAGAGGCATCACTAATTTAATTCAGCCAATAGTTAAAAGGCTTTTGTAAAATCAATGTATGTGCTTTCAATCACACACAGGCCAATTTAATGTGATCAATATTTCATTACTCAGCATTAAAAAAACATTGTTTAAAAGTTTCATTTGATTGGTAAATGATTGATTCCCTGGAGGACATTTACCCGAGCATCAAAGGCCTCTGCTGGTTCTACCTGGCTGCTCATAGAAGGTCAGTCTGCATCCAAACAGCTTGGAATATAATTGTGACGCTTATTGGACTGATAGTGAGATACTAGGACTCACACATGAAAACACTAAAACATCTGCAAATGGATTTGTAATCTTATCTCAAACATATGGAAACAAAAAACTTGTCAAAGTGGGGACCAACATAACATACAGCAACCGACCTGTTGGGCCCACTGAGTAGTCAAGGCTCCATATTTAGGAGAAATATTCCTGCTCAAAGTGTTCAATATTAAATCAATTGTTTAAAATATGCAAATTAACCAATCTTAAAAAACATAAATTATTAATACGGAAGCTGTTATTTCCTAATAAAGTTTAATTGAATTTACTGTCATCATAGAAGCTTTAATGCAAAATCTCCTTTTTCAAAATTATATTTCACAGCATTTGTGCACTTGTTTTTCTTACATAATGTCACTTGATAACAGTACGGTTGTCTCCATCCAACGCCTGCTGCAGACCTCTAAATGTTTCTGTTTTCAGCCTCTTGTTGCTTTATTCAGAATGACTTTAGCACTTTAGCTTCTCAAGCTAACTGGCTGGGAGTTGTTGAGCCAGTTTGCTCAAAGGCAGGGGCAGTACCACTGGAAAAATTGCCATTAAACCTTTGAAATAAATGTCTACAACTATACACTTGTAAGAATTATTAAATAACATCTCACAAGTTTAGATTTCTAAAAAAAATGTCACAATACATTTACAAATATCTATTTAATATTAAACACTTTGGGGCCCCAAATAGAAAAAGCTATTCTGTCGATATTGCAATTGTATTTTATAATTGTCCTTATGCACACTGGTTCTTTTAGTCCACATCTTTTCAAGAGTCACGCTCCCGTCTCAAGTTCTTTACTAGCCTGCTGTTCAAAGGAAATGTTATACTGTTTCAATTCAAATGTAGATTTTATAAATGAAACTGGATGAGCTTCATCAGTAATCTTTCACTGGCTTAGACCAAGCTGTATGCTTTGATATGTTTAGCGGAACAGAATTGCAGTTGTATTTTATATTTATACGATACCCTTGTATTATTGAGATTCTTTTTTGAGTTTATATAAAGCTATATGTAAAGGTTTTTTCCCTTCGCTGTAAAGAAATTATTAAAAAATGAACTTTGACCGTGTGCTGTTAGTCTGCTTGCCTGCTGTGCTTTGGCTTACTCAGCAGAACTCTTTAATGTGATCTTCATCAGGGTGTCTGCAGCTGCCTCACAGACACAAGGTCCACTCACAGCTGTTCATCAGGCCTTCTGCTGACTCATGCTCATCAGGTCCCCAAGTATAAACATATTTAATGTCAAAACAATAGGATTTTAATTTCAAGCTAATGTTTGTCAAAGGACAAGTCTGGTGACATTCCATGAGTCTACCAACATGTATTCCATGTGCCCTGATGCTCCAGTCCTGAACGTCTGCTGGAAAGCTAGAGCACTAGTTTTAGATTAGGATGCAGGATTTAAATCAGACCCGCTGAATGTACCAAAATTGCTCTTAACTTAAATTGTCCCATATTGCAAAGCAAAACATCCGAAGAGGAACTCCACAGAGCTGAGTTGATATCTGTGATGTAGAGAAGAAGGGACTCTTTAAAATGACTTCTGTTTGCACGCACACTGCATTTGGTTACAGTTCTCCACACTAGCCACAAGGTGGCAGCAATGAGCCAAGCCAACAATTCCAATACAAATGATTCACACAAAGATAAGATTTGGGTTTCCTCCAGTGTGAATTCAAAACTAAGTTGTGTTGTTACAAGATACAGATTCTGCAGGCAGAGGCCTCAGTGGCAAACCCTCCCCCCGTTCTAAATGTCTCCTGTGCCTTCAGAGCTCAGAGGTAACAGACTGTTGGTCTTTTCATGAGTTTTCGAGACAAACTGAAAAAGATAGAATAAAACCAGACTTATTCTATAAATGCACAACTATGATAGAACCGTTATTGTTGGAATTGAAAACCAATACAGTCATTATGTAAGCTCTATCCTGATCTAATGATTTGAGGTTTTTTCAGTCCATTTCTCAGCTGGTTGAAGTCTGATGGAATGTGGTGACGTGAGCAGCGTGCAGACATCCTGATGTCCACTTTGCCCTGTGCCCTAACCTCTAAAAGCTCCTGTGTGCTCTCCAAACAGCAGCTTTAGTGAACAAACAACAAACACTCCCCCCCAGGAGCAGGTGAGTGGGCTGTGCCCCGGTCAGAGGAATCTTGACGGTTTGCACCGCACCTTTCACCACCAGGAGACCCAACACATATGTGGCCTTTCTGATGCCCCCCCTCTGCCTGCTGCTCACACACACTACATGAGCTGTGTGTGTTTACATTTCATGTGTTGGTCAGTCTAAGGTTCACCAGTTGCTAAAGTAATCACTACAGAGTCAGCAGCAGTGATTATGTAGATTCAATCCCAGAGCCGTACCTGGAAGGGCTTCGGTTCCTCTCGGGAGCTTCAGGGGCCACAGAGGACCATCCGGGGGCCCCTCTGACTCGCTGTCTGCTACATAAAAAAAAGGCTGAGAACCAACAACTACTTGAATATATGGACAATAACCCAACTATTTGTACTTATCATGGTAGAGTTAAAAAAGCCTTTTTACAAAAAGTGTCATAACAGGGTTCGCCAACAAATAACATCAATTTTTTTTTTCAAAAATAGATTTGATTCTCAAGATTAACTCATTTCAATGTCTGAAAATGGTCTGAATCATAGCTGTGACAAAGCATAACCGAAGTCAAACAACATCACAGAAAACATGTGAGATTAGTGGTTATTTACGTACTGATTACTGCTAAAGGGCACAATGGCAGAAACTACAAGTTACATTTAAGGGCGCTGTTCAGTTACCCAGAGCACCACTGTGTTCAGCTAAATGCAATACGGTTGATCATTCATATAGACACAGCTATCTCATGTTGGTGTAAAGCTTCAAATGAGTATAGCTCCATCCACAGCATCCACTAACTCAACTTCGCCAACATCTGGATTTGTAAATTCGGCTGCACCATTGAACCATCAGCAACGTCTTCCATTCATAACGCCTATTCCTTGTAAGTGTAAGTGAGGCAAAAGTCATGTCATCTGTAACGCATTAGTGTACAGTGTATCGTAAAGACACTTAGTGCTAAAACATGTCTACATATCATATAAGGTGTTCAGACTGTCACATGACCAAATAACAGCAACTGAGATGATTGGTCTTATCAAAAATCCTGATAGAGTTGGACCACTAATAAGAGGTATGCTGAGCCCCCTCTGAAGTCACAGTGCGTCACTCTGCATAATGTGAATGCAGAAAGTATAATCTTAGCTTTAGTCTTGATAGTTATGTGGATTGAGTTTTATCAAACTATATTTATGTAACATTCTGTAGTTATACAAGAGACATCCTTTTGTTCCTTCTGTTCTGAGCTGCAGCTGTAGCTGTTGAACTGGTGTGTGTGAGGTGTGTGGAGTGTGAGGTGTGGAGTGTAAGGAGGATGGTGTGTTGATGACCTGATGACTCAGAGCTGTGACACCTTCTATCTGTTCAAGCTGAACTCACCACATGTATTACTATCACTGAAATCCCATGTGGTGCAGTCTCATATTCATTTGCCTTGTGTAGCTAAATAATGTTTGATGGTACAAGTTTCTTCTGTTTTAGTGACAATAGTTGAGGCACACTGAATATAAATAAGACATCTGTTCTCCGGGGTTTGTGTTTGAGAATCCAGACATTGTGGATCCTTGACTTTGTTTATCACATGTTCCTGTGAGTTCATTGATAGTTGCAGACTCATACTGGGGTTTCCTTGGACCTGTTTAAAATAATCGTTTATTGATTTGACACAAGACTGCTTTTTCAGTGCTTCAAAGATGGCTTGAAGTTTGTCTGGATCTGTTGCCAGAGCAACAAGCTCAGATCTGCAGTGTGCAGCTTTTTCAGTCGGATCTACAGGAGTTTGAGCTGTGACCAGCCCCAAACCTGGAGACATGTTCAGGTCGTATACATAACTTTAGAGGATAAGAGAAAAAGTTCTAGTCTAAATATTAATGTCAAAATTGGCAAACAATGGGATTGGAAAAAATAATGAAGTGATTTCTTATCAAAGTTATATTAAAGAGGGAAAATCCAAAAAAGGCACCGTGGGGAAAAGTGAAATGTTTCTGATTGAACCAGGAGCTGTTACACACCTAACAGCACATCAGGGATTTAATACACGAGGAAGCAGCATTAAAACGTATCCAATAAATATGAGGGCTACTTGAATATGTTGCAGTGTAAAGGTTGTAGGGATCAAGTGATATATCAAATTTGTTTATTTTATATATACTGTATCTTTGGCAGTTGTGCTTTAATGATGCACTAACCTCCTCTAGGTAATGACATCATCAAACCACGCCAGAGGAACCAAGTTGCCTGCATGATTCAGCTGGCTAGCATCAAGTGATCCTATAGGTTTAGTCTTGAGTTTAAAGAAAAGGCCCAGGGTCCTATGGGACAGGAGGCTTCCATTGAAAAGTGTGTATCCATTCCCCATTGGCTACTCAGTCACACATACACACCTGCAGAGTTCATGACTGCCACGGTTTGAATAACACAAACACGTTATAATTCAGATCACACACCCTTTTCCATTAAACACACCACCCTCCTTCCTGTACAGTGTGAGTGTGTGCTTGTTCTGATGCACAAGGTTTCTTGTTTCAAAGCAAAGTTGTTTTAGTAACTCGGGTTTGATAGCTTTCCACTTCAGCCCTGAAGGCAATAAACACTCCAACATTGTGTCGATGTTTATGATATCCACTGGACTGAAACGACATGCTTTTCCAGGGAATGCCACTGAGCGCGTCCTGTCAGCGTGTGAAGCCTTCACCAGCAGCTGGCCTCATATTCTCCATTTACAAGCTAATACAACCTAATACATTTCACAGCCAAAGGGTGCTTTAAGATCATATGTGACTTCATCATCAATATTTATTGTAACAGATAATACCTACTTGTTAAAAGGGTGGGGCGCCACATGGGGACACATGTTATCCAGATTGGAATCCAGGATTTTAATAATAGGAAAAAGATTAATATAATTTATTCTTCATTTATTTGTATGTCCAAATGTAACAATTCTTTGTAAATGTAGCATCCGTCAAATAATATAAGCCAAGGCTCCTGACACGCCTCCATGATCACTGAAAGAGTGATACTCATGTTTTGTTGATCATTAAGGAAATATAAAATGTCAGGAAATTGCCCAAAAATCTTTGGGCATAATTGTATATATTGTGAGCAATATGACTGCAGATGCAGTCTAAATATAACTTTTTAGAATAATCCTCATTCAGAAAGCCAGGCAGGTTTCATATTGGAGCTGAGAGTTAGCAGTTGGCTTGTTTCGTTTGATGTGTTGAAAACAACTTGGAAGCAACAAGGCACATACTGATATTCACAGAAGGCGTGTTTTGGGTTCCAACAGAGGTAAATGCAGCAAATTCTACCCCTTAATTAATGTTTCCAAGCATGTGCACGTCTGCATGAATCATACAGTATTTATGAAGCCTACCTGCATCTGTACATGTTTCTTCCTCTCTTCCCAGGATTCCTTGTGTTCCCCCCAACTCATCACGGAGGACGAGGGGCTGAGTCGGCTGGCTCAGACCGTCCAATCACTGGTGGACCTGGCCGACAGCTCCCAGCGGGGCCCCAGGACCCAGACGTAGGGGCCGAGGCTCAACGCAGTGCTGACCCGGGGGAGCTGCAAAGATTCAACAGCATCACACCAGAGATCCATCTCAGGGCCACGCTCCATATTTAACATGTTACACACAGTGTCCAATACATGTCAACAATAAAAAAGACCTCCAGTACGGAAATGATCCAGAGCCTCTTTTCATCTTTACAAGTGAAGATTGAATTACACAAGTTGAAAGATGTTTTCAAATCAATATGAGCACCTCTAGCCTAGCTCAGCACAAAGACTAGAATCAGGGAAACTGCTAGCCTGGCTCTGTCCAGTTTCCAAATATACCGACCAACTAAAGCTATTGGATTAACACTATTTTGGTTTATTCTGTACAAAAACAGAAATGTTAAAATAATTGACTTGTAAGTCAATTATTTTAATATTTCTGTTTCTGTACAGAATAAACCAAAATAGTGTTAATTCATTGTAGTGTATAGATCTCTGGTTCAACACATCAGTGAGCTGTAGACCTGTTGGTAGAACTTTAACGAAGCCATGCTAGCCGTTTCTTCATGCAAAGTTCCCATCACCTGCTTTTTACTTACAATAAAGAAAATGGAATAACATCTTCCAAAAAGTGTCTCCAAAAACAAACTATGTTAGAAGTGTGAACCATTTCCCTCAGGTGACGTCGCTCTGCTTCAGTTGGACATGAAGACTACAAGTTGAATACCTGTGTAGCTCCTCTTCTCTCCTGCAGGTTAGAGGCTCCACATTAGCAGCTCATAGCATAACACCATACAATCTCAACCAAACTGCAGCTGGTCACATTGTATGCTGGGTAATGTCGGAGATAGGTTGAGTTCATAATTGGAATGAAATCAGATGACTTATAAGTATAAAAGTATTCTCAAACCATATGCAATAAACTGGCTTCTGATTGTTTTCCTTTAATCCTTGATCAAGTAGAATTACAGACACAGTATTTACAAAAGAAAAACTGGAAAAGAATGAGGGGAAATCAGGTAGAAATGTCTCTGTACTACTTTTAGTGGAATAACAACAGCTATCAGCAGCAGCAACAAAGCCAAAATCCCACCATGTCCAAGTCGGACATGGTGGGATTTTAAAATACAGACTTGATTGGAGAAATCAGCTTGTTGTCCGCTGCTGTCAGAGAAGCGACAGCTGAATATACAGGCTGTTGAATGCTGCAGCAGTGAATGATACACCGGTTTCATTAACAGAGCAGAAATGCTGTAATCCAGCGTCTGATAGGAGCCACTTACCTCACCTCTGACTCATCCTTCCAACAGGAGTTAACAGGTCTGTTGCAAGGCTGCTGCAAGTGTTACACACCGTTAGGATGGGTGACAAACAAGATATTTTATTTATTTTCATTGAATGCACCACATGAAGCAGGCTGTGCGAGTCTCTTGAGTTTCATTCCCATTTCAACATTTTGTCTAACACAACCTGTCCTCCCAGCTGCCTCCCAAACACTGTATTCACCCACATTTGAATAATACATTCCCAGAATCAACAAATATCTTCTGAAATATTCTTTGATTTATATTTCACTCATCAAAAGCACATTGATCATTTTAGGAAAAAGCTCTACCATAATCTGTGTTCATAACATGTCCCAGCCACAGCCGGACCACACTATCTCTGACACGCATCTAGATTATTCTTCCAACAATATCTTTGTATCCCAATGTGGCCCCTCACCACAAAGGAACCATTGAACCAATAGCAAGTATCTACAAGAAAGCTGATAAGATCCACGGCAACCGCCCCCCTTCGACCCACCACTGCACTCACATTCTGCTCCCTCATTCTTCAGAACAACAACAATAATGTAGCTGTGATACTTTATTACTTTTAGACCCAGAACAATTCTGCTCTCTCCACGTCAGCCCTCTCATCTGTGATGTCTGTGTACACTGAGTTTGGTTGTTGTCTTGTTTCTGTTTGCATTTAAAGTAATGGCATTATGTTGGTTTAATGTGCTGCAGACAGGGACCTACTGTTACACATGTAATGTTACCTTTAATCTCTTCCTATCCATACAGATTGATACAGAGAAGAAGAGAGCTGCCTTCACTTCAATAATCAGCTCTGGTTTTAATCACGAGTCACTTAGCAGCGTGGCCTAATTGCCTATCATCTTAATATCTGTACGAGGACCGTCTGCTAGCGGCTCATCTTCTCACTTCTTGATAAGACACACACCTAATGAACACACACACTTGTGTATGGAAATGTCGTCGGTCAGATTCCCGTCACATCGGAGCCGTTGCCCCCGCGAGCCCCACGCTAACCGCCTGANCTCCTTAGACCCTCACATCGTACAAGGAAAAACTTCCAGAGAAAACCCCACAGTTTAAAGGGAAAAATGGGAGAAACCTCAGGGAGAGCAACAGAGGAGGGATCCCTCCTCTGTTGCTCTCCCTGAGGTTTCTCCCATTTTTCCCTTTAAACTGTGGGGTTTTCTCTGGAAGTTTTTCCTTGTACGATGTGAGGGTCTAAGGAGGGAGGGTGTCGTATTGTCATTCTGATATTCTGTACAAACTGTGAAGTCCACTGAGACAAATGTAACATTTGTGATATTGGGCTATATAAATAAACATTGATTGATTGATTCATTAATATCTAATAATACAAATAATCAAATTCAATAACGTGCTTTAACCACCAGTGTCACACCATGTGTCCCTTTCTATCAGCTGTGCACCGTTATGGTGTATATACAGCCTATCTACTACCAATTGGATCAAAAATAAAAGTCAGCCGAATTAGTGTTGATACTGCAAGGAAAGAAATGTAAGATGTTGTATAATTGCTGATATATTTAAGATCCACGTCACGTTTTCAGTTTTGGCGGCGGTTCTTCCTGTTTGTCTAGAAGTCTTCTCATCAGGGCTCTATAAATAGAGAGCTACGGCAGATATGTAATATTTAATGCAGCCGAACCGTGTATTACAATCCCGTTACGTGATGACTTTCAAAGAGAAAAGNAAATAGAACTGTAAATGTGAGTCTGGCTGGATCGTTTGGATGAGTGGGTGTTAATCAGTTACAGTGCAACGGTGGCTTTGTTGAAGATTTAAATATATACAGAACAGCACGGCCCAGAGACATGATGTACAGAGTAAAGCTGCAAATGTTATATGATATTACCATAGTTATATCCAACCGGTATCACGGCAAGACATTGAACATTGACGATTTACCATTTTCTGGGGACGAGATGCCACGATTTCGTCCTTCAAAACGTTGACAGTTACACGGTATTTCTACATGGCCAACCAGTGGAGTTAATCCAAGCAAATGCTACCCCCCGACGGTCGGTGTTATTGTCATATTCAATATAATCTTTATTTTGTAATAGTCCACACGCGATTTCGTGCCGAGTCTTGTTGCCCCCAGCTGGTCGACACCTCTTTAGCAGAACAAAAGGGCTAATTAATGTATTATCGATGTAACAATGTGGTGTGGAATGTGGATCATGACGTGACGTTGTGCGATTGCGTTGCAGACAAAACGCTTCGGTCAGTTAATTTACAATCTGTCAACTTGACGTAGTTATTAAAAACATTTTAGAGGCTCACAAAAATACTTTATGTTCAATTCAAATTAATGTGATAGGAAGTGTGTATAAACAAAATACAATCCGTCATAAAATACTGGAAACCCGACGTAGGCAGGTCCTCAGCTCGGGTGATTGTGGTTTCAGCGCAATGCACGTGGAAATGGCGTATGCAATGTAAAATCGAAAAACAAACTTTTTCTAAACAAAAATATAAATATACTTATATCCGAGTGGTCTTTGCTTTCTCTTGAAGGTCATCACATAAGCATTTGTAAAACACAGTTCGGCGTGTTAGATAAATTATATATCCCCTGCCTTTGTTCGCTATTATAGAGGGCCCTGATGAGAAGACTTCTAGACAACACTGCGCCGAACTGATAGTGACGGGGATCATAATATACGCAATCAAAAAAAAATCTATTCTCTTCAACAACATCGTCTCTTTGCAATTATCAACAACTAATTCGCGACTTTTATATTGATCAATCCGTTATAAAGTCAGCGCCGATTAGTGTTGATATTGCAAGGAGACGTATTGTGTGAAGAGAAATTTAAGATTTTTTTTGATTGCTGATATATTTATGATCCACGTCACATATTCAGTTTCGGCGGCAGTTGTTGTCTAGAAGTCTTCTCATCAGGGCTCTATAAATAGCGAACTAAGGCAGATATATAATATCTAATGCAGCCGAACTGTGTTTTACAATGCCGTTATGTGATGACCTTCAAAGAGAAAAGCAAGCACACTCGGAATAAAGTATTATTTTATTTTTAGAAAAAATGTTTTCGGATTTTACATTGCATAAACGCCATTTCCCAACGTGCATTGCGGCTGAACCATCGAATCACCGAGCTGAGGACCTTGCCTACGTCTGTTTCCAGTATTTTTATGACGGATGTATTTTGTTATACACACATTCCTTCACATTTAAATTTAAATTGACATTAAAGTATTTTGTGAGGCCTTCTAAAATGTTTTTAAAAATAACTACGGTTCTAGTTGAAGAGTTTGTAAATTAACATGAACCGAAGCTGTTGTCTGGCAACGCAATCGCACAACGTCACGTCCATTGATTCCACATCCACACCACATGGATTAACATCGATTTAATACATTAATTTAGCCTTTGTTTCTGCTAAAAGAGGTGTCGACCAGCTGGGGCAACAAGAAAATCGGCGAAATCGAGTGTGACTATTACAAAATAAATGATTATATTAATATTGACAATAACAACCGACCGTCGGGGTAGCATTTGCTTGGCATTATACCTCCACTGGTTGGGCCATGTTAACAATACCGTGTAACTGTCACGTTTGAAGGGACGAAATCGTGGCATCTTCACGTCTCCCAGAATGGTAAATCGTCACATGTTCATGTCTTGCCGTGATACCGGGTTGGATATAACATGTAATATCATATACATTTAGCAGCTTTTACTCTGTACATCAATCGTCTCTGGCCAGTGCTGTCTGTATATTATTTAAAATCCCTTCAACAAAAGCCCACAGTTGCACTGTAACTGTATTAAACAACCCACTCAATCCAAACGGATCCAGCCAGACATCACATTTACAGTTGCTATTTTACAAATCAATATTATTGCCAAATAAGTGGTCAAATTGTGCTAGATGTGAGGAAAACGAGGCCAAAACCGAGTCCATAAACATCAAGCAGTTTGATTCCTGTGGTGAAAGTAACTTGACTGGGTAGTCTGTCGCCATAGTGAAGAACAATCATTTCAGCTTCTCTCTCTAGCAACTGATGGAGACTGAAATTCTCTTTTTGAAGTTGTGTGCTCAGTTTGAGCGCAGTCTCATAATAATAATAAATGGGATTTATATAGCGCTTTTCTAGACCCAAAGACGCTTTTGATGCATGCAGGCTGCAGTCCAGTCATTTCACTCACACATTCCCGTCTCATATGATTTACAGAAACATATTATGTTATCATTCATAATCATGTACTCTTATCAAAAGTAATCCATAAAGCCTGGATTTTAGATAATTGACCTAGAGCAGGAAGAAATATAAAAACAAATTCCCTCTTATTCTTGTTTGTTTCCATGATTCGTTCTCGTTCTTTTGGTACCTGTTCTGATTCCTTCTGACATGCACAGATTGTTGTGAATTGAAATGTTCTCAGAGTAACATGAAGTGAGATGTCTCACCAGACAGCCCTTCTTGCTAAGGCGAAGCGAGAAGAGGTGCTTATTTTGAATGACGCTGCGTCGTAGCGCAAGCTACTTATAGGGTGGGTGGATTCCCTGACGTAGACGTCAAGATCACCAGCCAATCAGGATTGGCGTAATGAGATTGATGCTTCTGTTTGCATACGCGTTGAGGCGCATCCCATAGTGAGACATCTCACTTCATGTTACTCTGAGAACTGGGGTTACGCAAGTAACCTATAGTTTGTTGATATGGTGAACATATCAGCAAACATTTGCTCATTTACTCATCAAGCTAATATGAAGTAACACTAGTCTTTATTTTTTTATCATGAAACTGGACACACACCAAACGCAAGACCAAAAACCGCTCTCTTTTACCTCAGCTTCTGTCTCTACCAACTCATGAGATAAATATCTCCGTCTTAAGCAGCTAAATGGCTAACTATGTTCCCTAGCTAGTTGCTAACGGTATATGTCTGCAGTCAGTGATAATAAGCCAGTAATGTATATTACAGGGTAGCTTTAATTCACATCTAGATTTTTAAAAAGCTTTTTTGATGGAATGGGGCTAGAAACAAAGTTATGACAGAGTGAAATTAAAACAGTAGGCCTACACTTTGTTTTAGATCTAGGTAGCAGGTGGGCGGCCATCTTTGTTTGCAAACATATTGCTGCTGCACACGATACGGGAACATTTGCTTGGTTTCGGTACAAAGGAAGTCCATCAACCATTGTGAAACATAGTGTGCGCTTTTGTTTCCCCTGGAAGATATCCCAAGTTACCAAAGGGTATCAATGTAAGTTATTGGTAAAAGAGATGGCGGACAGTTGAACAACAGAAATAACTGTGGAACACAAAATGCAGTGTCCTGTTTTGTTTGTTGCTAGGCTTTGAGGAAAACAGAAATCAATCCTTTTGTCTTTGCAACAGCTGCACCCACAATAATACCACTTGGAAATGCTACAGAAAGAAAAGGTTGTTAGTTTCCGATGTCACAATGTCATTTTGATATACATACAAACATCAATTTTGCGCAAACAAAGGAATTTGATGCCATGGATTAATTTACGCCCACAGTCTGATAAGTGTCCACGCATGTCATAAATTACAAAGTAAATCTGTGAAGAAAACAAAAGACTATTCAGAATGCCTGTGTTATTCGATAACAAGAATCTGGTCATCATGATTTGGAAAATAAAAACAGACAAGCGGCCTGTTTTATACAAGCTTTATTTACAATGACATTTCCAAGTTTTGCAGTGTAGGAAGCACATTATCATCCATAGGCCCTCATCAGACAGATGCTTTATGAAATCCATCTTACGTAACTTAAGTTTCATTTTCTCAATCACATCAAGACACCTCCTCTACTATCGCCACATTTAGTATGTACATAGTGTAGTTTGTATACAAGCAATAGAAAACTTGGCAAATGGAAGGTTATTTGCTACTTCAATATGTAAAGAAAAGATTTCCAATGAGTAAAAAAATACAGCAAACACTGCACGCGTAGTGATAAAATTCTGACCTCATGTTTGTTCCATCTCTAATACAAGTCAAGTAACACTAGGGAACAACGGGTACTCATTTTAGCTTGGGCATGTAAGTAATACTCCACGATATGACCAGGTTTTATAAAGAATACTGCAATCTTCGCTCAGCATTTTGTTCTGAAAAATGAATATCAAGGAAAGATTTGGAGTTATAGCTAAAACAGTACATAACCTTTCCTTCCTTATTGAGAAGAAATCTGAGTTAATTAAAATGTCTGAAAGTGGTGCTAACTGGCTGTCTTCTGAAGCTAGTTCCTCCAGTTTGTGATAATCTGTCACCCAGTATCTAAATATTTGCAAGAAATATTAGGTATATACACCGACACACGTAAGCAACAACATACATTGGTTGGCTCGATGAGGGATTAAAGAGGACAACATTAAATGCATTCTCTTAGGGGGATATTAAATAACAAAAAGCTCCCAAAATCCCTGATATAACTTTAAACAGGTCAACCACAATGTGGATGTGTTCCATTATATACAGATTTCTTACCAAACCAATAACTCGGATGGACGGTTAAAAGAGTTGTGTCTATAACTTACAACTGGATTTTAATGGCAAATGGTTTACAAAACACAGATTTGGACAGAAAACAGTAGAGAACTGGACAAATAAAAACATCACATCTTTACCTAACTGGATTCAAACTGCAAATGTTTTTCCACTCTACTTTGGAAACTCATTTAAGGGATGACCAAATGTAGAAGCTAAATTGTTGTTGTAAGGTTGGTTAACCGAACAGCTAAGCTAGCTTCATTTGAATGCATTCCCAACAGCTAATCTGTCTTTTTTCTCAAACATCAACCCCATCGTTGTTGCTGTGGCTCAAACACTGGAAAATAAAATCATTTGTAGGGTCGTATGTGAATTAAAAGTTTAAAAATGTGCTTTTTTGTTAACAAGAAAACATGTTTCAAACATGACGAGACTTCCTGAAAAGACTAGAGGTGAATGGAACTTTGTACCATGTTCTCATTTTACACTGATCGCAGATAATGTAACAACCTTTATTTAATTTGCAGGAGAAAAATACTTTTTCAAACCACATCCTCCTTTCGTTGCATAAGACAAGTATTTAACAGTATCTCGAAGTTGTATGGTAACTTCACATCCATTGTAACAGTTTAAGTGATGATAAAATACTACTGCTGATATAAAAAAATTTAACAACACTGCTGTACAAGCGGCAAAATAATAAATAAGCCATTAAGATAAAAATGCACGGCATGAATCAAATCAAGGTTACACAATATAACATGCATGAGTAAAATGGGTTAAAATACAGAGAAGAAAAGCCCCAATCAGCCTGGTTAATTTGAGTGTTTGTAAAGAAATATATCAAGTAGACGAGAATTGATTTCTTCCCTCTTTTCAACAATAAAATAGCCTTAATGCTTTTAGTCCTAAAACGACCAGCCAGTCTTATTTTTTTTCAATACGTCACATTTTAAACAAAGACACTAAAATATGAGGGCCCAACCATCTCTCTCATTTGAAAAATGCACTTATGCCTGTAATATGCATATTTCCTCAGGTCCAATCTCTCAACATATTTGTCAACATACTTTTATACAATCTGGAATACTGATACGTTAATTTGATGCCAATTTTCCTTAAGTTGCAACAGTAACACACTGTTAAATGATTGTAGGTAATGTATTACAAGTGTGACAAAATGCACCGCCAGCAGAGCCTCTTAATTTTGGCTCAATTAGAGTGCAGGTTATTTGCTACTTGGTCAAATAACATAGACAACATATAGCCAGTATCGAGAGATGTTGAATGAAATCTAAAAATAAATTATAAGTAGGCTTAACGGGGGCTTTTATCTTGTATAAACGCATATCTGTAACAATGTTATTCATCTTGATAAAAATACTTATTTTGCCATCCTATGTTCCTACTGCAGAGTCCAACAGCTTACAGGGCAGCACAGTAATGCCCTATACGCTACTCCTTATACTTGAGGTAAAACCACTCTAAAATGCCATCCAGCAACGAGAGGCTGGGCATTGCAGGAGATACACACTTAGAAGGTTAAAGGGGAGCTTTTTTTTGTGATACATTTGCTGGCTACACCTCTCCGATATCTCTCACATGCAGATGGAGACTCTTCTTCAACCATGAAAAACAGATATGTGAAAGTATGTCATTGAGGTATCCTGAAGCAGCCAGCAAACCTAACCAACTGCCTGGTAAACGGACTATACTGCGATATTCTGCCCCTGTTGTTGGTATTTGTAACAGAAATAGAATTGTAACAAGGGAGCAGACGCAAGCATGTCCATAAAGAGTAAAGGGCATGAGGAGAAGGAGCGGGAAATGAGGAAAGGAGTTGAATTTCTTGCCTCCTCTGGGCTTGTGTGGAGGTTACAACGCATGACACAGCAGAGGGTTGTTAGTGCTCATGCTCCGCTGCGGGTGTGCTGGTTATTCGCAGGCAGGAGTCTATGCAAAAGTCATGCAAGGCGAGGATTCATGCATCGTGTGCCTCTGCCTAGCCCGGCCCGGGGCCAACGTAGGCCAGAGCCGGGCCGGGCCAGGACACACACACACAAGGCTGGGCCAGCTCATTGGTGTGGCAGTCATGCAGTGACATTGCTGTTGAGGGAGGAAAGAGAAAGAGAGATAACGGTCAGACGGCGGGGAGTGCTAGATTAGAATCTGGCCTTGATACAAAGACATACACAGCAAACAAACAGGGTTAATCCCTTCAAAAGAACTCATGGTAAAATGTTAGAGCAAACAAGGACAATGCAGGGGGGAAATAAATAAGTTAAAGAAAGGACAGTAACAGAAACAAGCATACCAATTCAAGATTCCTATTTAAATTGACATACTGTGCAGTGCTCTTATAACACCAACAGCCTTATTAATATGAGAGCAAATCATTTATCTTTAATGATGGGGGAAGTCAGTCTGCTTCAATGAGCTACACTGAATCAGCATCCTCTCTTTGTTATATTATCGGCATACAGGACCATCTCCTTTTCAACAAAACAGTGCAAGCCTCCAGAAGTCAAGACTAGATTTTCCTTCATCTCATTTCTCTCTGTGTGTAGTGTGAGGAGGCGCGCCTGCAGTGTTCCAAAGATAACATGAACCAAATACTGCGATATATATATATTTCAATTTAACACCATGGCACATCAGGTAAATGCTGGTATGTGTGCCTTTCCTAGAACAATGGTGGCTCCTTAATAGAAGATAATGAAAACACAGTTAGCTTGTACTTTGCCAAAAGCTATCTAGCTGTTGCGACTCCTGGAAAAACTTCAACAACTGAAGGAGTAACTTTCAAATCCCATTAGAGATCATTTAGACAATTCATCTAGCAAATGAAACATTTTCTGTGATGACAATTCATCTTCCTATTCCTTAATGTATTTGTTTCGAAACAATATAGACATAATGACGCCGCAGAAGAGCAACTCGTCTCCATTTGAAAAACACAGTTTAAACAATGACATATGAGTAATGAGAATAGCTGTCGCCTGATTGAAAGCTACATCAGAAACAGAACATCTGTCAACTCCAGGCTGAGAAACACGATGAACCTTAAGTGATATGGCAGGTAGAGATGTGCATAAATACTGAATGAACAGGCAGAGCGCTTCCGTGAAAACAAAAAATGACAATAACTTCCAAAGGATGCAATAGCCAGGACAAAGGTTCGCCACAGAGCACAGGGAGAGGAAGGTCAGTGGTTAGTAACACCCTATCAAAATGCTGATTTGTTAAAAAGGGAAGGAGCGTGGCATCACAGGAGCCACAATAAAAACTGTTAAGTTAAGGGGGAAAAAAAGTGGTGGGAGATTTTTTTTGGGCAGCTTTGTCTGGCATCTCTACCTCATGGATCTGATCAAGAAGGAAAAGAAGAAAATCAATAGGGAGAATGCAGGAAAATAAGAACGTCCATTAGAAATGAATGGAAATAGTGTGCCTCAGAAAAGGCCAATCTACTGTATGTGAGTTCGGGGGGTTTGTAAGGTAGTTTGTCTCAGTATCTGTCTGCCCCCCTGCTGCCATCTACCTGGCGGTAGCGGGCTGGACGTGGCCGGGGTATGAGCGGCGAGTGCTGGTGGCCTGTCTCTGCCGGGCCAGGAAGGACTGACCCGAGCCCGTGTTGGCAAGTCGGTCTTCAGCCGCTTTCTTCTGCAGAGACATGCCCTGGGAGGAGGAACAGAGGAAGTCTTCTCATTATATATTTAATGGTCACCATCGGTAAAACAAGATGTCGTACGTGATGTCACGATTGGTGCAAGGAACTTGATGCACGAGAAACAATTTAGCTCGAACAAATATCAGTAACAATTCAACATCATTATGAACAATAGCTATTGATCAAAAGTGTAACAGACAACACATTGTTTGTGAGGCTTATAAAAAAGCATACGCTGCCCTCTGGTGGTTGAAATGCCTTCCTGCATGAGTTGCGATGTTTTGTTTCATCGATTTGGGCCTACACATCGAAGGGTATTGCAAAATCACAGTACATTTACCAACAAAAAAAAAATGTGGCATGCCATATGTAGTTTTCTTTTTTTATAATAATCATTAGGTAATTAAATTACATTAGATAACTGTGAAAAATGCTCATTCAATCATAGTATCATAGGGCACAATGTGACATCATTAAATGTACCCAAAGATACTACAATTCCCATTTTTAGAAACTGGAACCATCAAATGTGTGGCAATTACATTAATCAAATAATTAACTTATGGCTTAATGTACTAATCATTGTGGTACTATATACCGTACTTTTCGGACTATAAGCCGCGCCTTTTTTCCCATTTTTCGACGCTGCGGCTTATATAACGGCGCGGCTAATCTATGGATTTGTACAGCTCACGGCCACCACCTTTAACTCTATGGGCTCTATGGCCGGTCCGCGGACCCCCAACTTTAAGCGGCGGGTTCCAGCAGGAAAAGCTGGAGGCCGGAAAAGAGTGAGACAGGTAGCGCGCAAAAGTAAAAGTGGAACCGAGAGTGGTGCGAGAGACAGAACGAGAGCAAGACAGACAGACATTACGAGAGCGAGACAGTTTGTCCCCGTACCACTGGTTGAAAACCACTGCTGTAGATCACTGCCGGTACGTGCGCTGGGAGCGCACCGTTTAAGTTTGAAAGTTGAAAAGTTTGTGTGTCTGAAACGCTATGTGATACAGTACAGTTTACACAGCACAGTACATGTTCTGTAGCTACTATTGCACTAAATGCTAACACTTGAATACGTTATGCAAATATGCAACTTGTTTGTTGAAATGTTAATAAATGGGAGCTTCCTTAAACAGCCATCTCTTACCCGACAATCCCCTCTGTGCACGAACCCTTACATATGGTAATTAAACATTAAAACACCTGCGGCTTATAGTCCAGTGCGGCTTATATATGTACACATCATTCAATTTAGCTGCTGCGGCTTATATTCAGGTGCGCCTTATAGTCCGAAAATTACGGTAACTTTAATATTATGGATTTCAGTGAATTATTACACTTCTTTCCAAGTCATTAATGTGAGCCACAATTTAAAAAGGAGAGTTCTAAGACTTCAGGCAGTACGAGGTTTTTCTTACCATATTGTACCAGGCTGACACAATCAGTTTCTCCTCGTAATCTCTCTGGCTTTTTGTCTTGTCCATCTCTTTCTGTTTGGAGGAAACGCCAAGACACAACATTAAGAAATGCAAGGGCTTTTCAAGCTACAACACACTGGTTATCTATGAGGGGACTGGTTGTTAACCCCACAAGCTGCTCGTCTGTTTTCTTGTCAGACTATTCAACTTTTTTAACAACTTTGGATTACCTCCAAAGAGTGCAACATCCTGTCTTTCTCCTGCAGCTGGTTCTTCAGGGCCTGCACCTCTGGACCTGATCCCTGGTTCTGCTTGGGGTCCAGGGTCCGGATCACCTGGAGAGGACACATTCAATCAAACTCCTGTTGAACGACACCTACAGCAAGCCTCACAAGTAGCAATACTCCGTGCAAAACATAGTTCACATTCACAAAGTAAACTCACACTCTTGGCCTTTTCTAGGTATTTCTTATATCTCTCCTCCATCTGTTTCATGTCATCATCTTTCTTCTTCAGGGCCTCCTCCAGCTCCTCCACTCGTTGGGCTGAGGCAACAACACAGACATTTACATTGTTTTGGCTGAGTGTATTCCTGCTTTTCTTTTGATATGCATTGAAGAACAAGTTTGAATGTCTAAGTGTTTGATCTGTACCACACATTAAATCAATTTCAAACATTCAAAATAAGAGATCTGACGGTAAGAGGTGAAAAATAAGAATATAAACTCACAGCTGCTGTTGTATTTAGGCTCCATTTCGTCGATGAATGTATTCTTCTTCAGTAACTCGTTGTTCAACTCCCGTAGTTTCTCCCTGATGAAGAGTAGAAAGAATGTCAAGCCTTGTTTTGTCTCATGATGAATATGAAGTTTTTAATTAAATGTATGTTATCTTACATGTGCTCCTCATATTTCTTCTTCAGGATAGAAGACTGAGAAAAAAAAGGATATGTTTTATAACGTAATATTCCATCCTATACAACCCACAGATACAATCAAAGAGACACTGCTGGATAAATGCAGTAGTTGCAGCAAATGTCAGTCTTCTTCAAAAGCACCACAATGTGGTGTCCCCTCTCATCCAACAGAGGGAAGGTTACAACTGATTAATGCTTGGAAAATGTGGCATTATGAAACATTCGTGACCTTGAATTACTCAAAAGAATCAGTGAAGACTTCAAACCAAACATGAATTCATAGATTGATAATCACAGTGAATATTTACAATAAGCGGAGAGTTCTGGTTCATTTTTTATGTTTTTTGGTCTATAATCAGTTTGAGTGCAGACAAATCCCTAAACAAGAAATCAGAAGGCATCAAGGAAAGAGGAAAGGTATGTCACTATAAAGAGGATAAACACATAGAGGATACCAGAGGACTGATTCTTGACACCTAGCTAGGAAAGGAGTCACTATTACATGTGTGCAACAACTCAGTGTATCAAATGCATGCAGTCATGATTCTAAATACAGATTGCGTTGATGATATTTAGGAGTTCTTATTTCATTCTCTAAAAATGTGTACGTTAAGAAAACATACGTTAGCATCACACTGTGTTCCGTTTCGTCACAGTGCACATTTACTGCACTGAGCTGTTACACCCTAATATCTAAAAGAAGGAACTTGGCAGGAATCACAAAGTTATACTTACTATAGTCTGACAGGGGGAGCATTATTTGAAAAGAAACATTATTTTTACTGATTGGCAAAAATCACAGACCTGCCAAATGTAGATGTTGTTTTTTTAAAGAATTTGTTTATGTTACTCAGCCTGCGTGATAGGGCTGCTCAATTAATCGTATTTTAATCGCAATTATGATTAGGGCTTGCAACGTAATCGAAATAAAATGATAATTTCTTATTATTATTAATCTTTTTTTTTTTTTTTTATTACATTTTTTTTAATTCGTTTTTCAGTTGAGTTTTACTTAAAGTTCAGGGTAATCAACTGTTAAAAACATACTGTTCACATTTTTTTTTTCAATAAATGGATGCTTTCAAAGTAAATGGATAATCGTTTTTAATAATCGTGATATCAATTATTGACCCAAATAATCGAGATTATGATTTTTGCCATAATCGAGCAGCCCTACTGCGTGACCATACATTCTCGAGGAAAAGTTACTATTTTGAAAAAAAAATTCTTGATGAATTGAACAGCAAAATGATTAAAAAAAAACATCCGTTTACAAAAGTGTTCAGTATAATTTACATAGATTCTTCAAGAATATTAGAAATGTTATGATATTTGTTCACCTTTGATGTGTGCATGAGAAAAAGTTTCCTTTACACATTTTGGTAGTTATATACACTGTTAAAGGTAGGGTAGGTAAGAATGGAGAAACCAGCTCGAGTGCGCTAGAATTTGAAAATACACAACGGAAAAACATCTGCCCCTTCTTTCAGACTTCCTTACAGAGCCCCTCCTCCAACACACACGGACGCGCACATGACCAATGAGGGCACGAGATAAGTTTGTGCACAGGTGGAAGGCTGACAGGCAAGTAGGCCATCCAGTTATTTTAGCCGGGCCGGCTTCCACAGATGAAATATTTGTGGAATTGCTATCGGGATGTTAAGAGCATTCCATGGAATATAAAACAAAGTGTTTCTGAAGTGAATTACCTATCCCACCTTTAAAATAATAATCCGTTGTGTATTTTAAAAATATACTGCGTGTATAAAACACTGGAAGTGGCTGAAAGTAACTTATTTACTACTGTATACAAGTGTTTTGTTGATATTGAGAGAATCAACTGATGGCAGGAACTGACCCCCAAAACCCACAAAAGAAAAAGGGTTGGTAGCATTTTAAATCGGGGTTAATTCAAGAAAAAGAAAGGTCCAATCCTAAATACCAGTCCCCTACTAGGAACTGGCTTCAAGGAGACAGAGGAGAAAGCAATACAACAAAAATCATGTTTTGTTATGTTTCAAATATCAAACACAGGTAATGATGTTAATACAAACTAAAACAGAGTTGGATTTTAAGATAGTCTTATTTCTTATTTAATTAATATACTGATGCCATACAGACGAATCATGGCTATAATACAATATAGAAAAACAAAGAATACAATATGTTAGCAATGGTTAATATTATGTATGGTTATCTTGAGAAGAGTTAGATGCAAAGAAAAAGAAAATAATTGTTATGCAATGGGTTATTTAAAAAAAACAAAAAACATCAGAACCTTCATTCTTCAGGAGGAGCTGTGTACTGCAGTATTGTGCGCCATCTTTGTTTCAGTGTGGTATGATGGGAATGTGTCTCTCTGTGGCCGCCAACATCTATACTGATATGAGAGTTGTGCACCCACAATGCAGAACAAACATTTCATTACTTACGTTGTCTGCTTTGGAGCCCTCTTCTTGAAGATTCTTCTGCAGCTCCTCCACCTGACTCTGCTCCTCCATCAGACGCTGATTGATTAACCTAGATAAAAAACACAAAAGACAAGATGGCTTTAACACGGCAATGAATACGGCCTGTTGCTGGCTCAAAGGGCATTGACTGAAATTCCAGTGAAGACAGAGAACATCTTTGTGTGAGATTGATCCGCGTTCCCACACAGGGAAACACAATCAGCCCAGTTGGAAAGTGTGGCACTGAAAACTACATGAACAGATCAAAAGACTTTATCTTTGCTCTATGTTTTACATTTGAAGCACAAAAGAGAATAAAAAATAAGAATTCAGCCTCAAGTTGCGTTTGCTTTTGCTGCTGATGCTAGGCTGCATGCATCTGGCTGTTCCTTTGACCTGTTTTCCGTCTCCAGTTCATTTTTCCTTCTGCTAGCATCCTCCAGCAGACTCTGCAGCAGGGCGATCTTCTCGTTGTCCGATCCCTCCTGAGCCAGCTTCAACATCTTGTTCTCATGCTGCAGACGAATCAGATGTTCTCTGGAAAAACACATTGGACAGTGTCAATTAAAAAAAATTCATTTTGTTGAAGCAACCACATTTTGGTTGTTATAGACATGTACTCACCAACCAATACAACCCTCATTATGTCAGTGAGAATTCAATCTGCTATGGTGATAGACAAACAGAAGCCACCTATGTTCTCCGTTTATTCATTATAACTGTTGCGGGATAATGTTTACGCACAAACTGTGTAGCATCAGTGCATATAGCATGACACATTGGGGACATTTGATACATTCTACAACCAAAAAAGCTGCTGTTTGATCAGTCAAATAAAACTCAAAACATTTAAAGCAACACAACTTGTTGTAATGCTGTTGTAGTACTTCAAGGGTCTCTATCGGCATCTCTAGATCTTTAAACATGTTAGAGATGCCCCCTAAGAAGACACTTCCATTGCAAAGCTAAATATATGACTCTTCCCCCGAGTGACTGACTGTTTCCTGAAGACAAACTGTGTACTCAGGTCAGGGAAGTTAGACATTTTTTTCTTCTTTTTATAATCGATCTACCAAACAGATACAATTGACTCTGTTTTGGACAGTGTTGAGCACAGTCTGTCTCTTGGGTCCTGACATGTGTTTTTCAGGGTGTGGCTGCCAACTCCTTTCCTTCTGGAGATCTGACTAAATGTTTCCAGATGAACTCACAGCTGCTAGCTAAGGTTAGCCCAGGTCTAATACGACTGATTAAAGCAACAGGACTGGGTTTATTCTAGCTGAGCTGCTATTCATACTCTGCATTAGATTGAGGGAATGACTTTAACTCCAGCTGTTTTCCTGGCTGTTTCACGGTTTACAGTAAAAATGACGGGCAGAGATCAATCCCAGATGCTACTTATGAAAGCGACGAGTTTAATCCGTCAAAAAGGCCCAGCCTACGCCAGATTTTCTTTCTCACTGTTGGATGATTAACTGACAAGCAACAGACATACATAAGAATGAATCATCCTCAATGTTCCCACTTAAACCTTCGAAAGCCTGCGGGATATGTCATCACCCTGAGGCACAACGGGTTTTCATTACTCTACCTAGAGGGTAATGATGAGTCTAGATTTAGATAGTTTAAATCATGTTTAAGTAGCTTTTAAAGGGTTTCAATGTAAATCCATATTTGTCTTTATTTCATGAGTGTTGGAAAAACAATCCAGGCATAGTATACTGCCAGCTGAAAACCCAGCCCTCTTGAGAAGCAGCAGTGAGGCTGATGTAACTCGCACAGCTATTACATAACACGCGAGAGGGACTCCTCCTTTAAGGCCTTAAAGCGCCAGGGGAGCAGGCACGCAAGATCAGAAACATCTCTCTCTTAAATCTCCTATCTCTTCCATCTTGACTGACTTCTGTTTAACATGTAAATAGCAACATGAAGCGAGTACTTCTTAACACAGAAATACAGACGTGATACTTTGATGTGGTATTTCTTCCTCTGTCTGTAGAGCACAATATTTACAATCATTTAGAATATAAACACATTAGATGATCTGATATGTGTAGTCAATCAACAACTCTTTTTGATGACCTTCTCTTGTTAAATAACCAAAGTGAAACAAAACTAAATGCATACCGAATCTCTGGGGTAGTGATTTCCGCCGCCAGTGAATCACCGTCGTTACTGGCCAATGGGAACAAGCCTAAAACAAAACATTATGAAAGGTTAAACCCAACTATTATGGCTTTAAAAAGTAGATTATACTTTGCTTAAACAGAACAAGCTCAGCTACTCTTATTTAGATAGCTTTTCATTGTACCTGCTGTAAGCTGTCCCTCTTGGGCTTGAACGCAGTGTAGCTCTTCAATGGTTTCCTTGAGAGAGTCTCTTTCCGTACGCATTCGCTACAGGGGAGAGGACACACGTGTGATAACTTATACACAAACAGTGTGAGGGAGGAAAAAAGTACAGGGTCTGAAATAAAAATCCCTATTGTCCAACATAATTCATCTGTCAATCAAGTCCTTTAACTACTTTTTGAAACTGCAGCATTTCAAAGTGTTGGCAGCCTTTGGGTCATTCTTTTAAAGTGTATATTGTGAGTGGTACATACATCTTTTTCTTTTTGGAGAGAGTCCGTCTTCTCTTTGACGCGTTTGTACTCAAACTCCATCTTGTCGGCCTTTTTAGACTCTTCTGACAGTCTGTTCTGAAGTTCAACCACCTGTGCAGAGAAAGAGAGCATTCAATCAAAAATGGACAAATTTGTGTGTGTGTGTGTGTGTGTGTGTGTGTGTGTGTGTGTGTGTGTGTGTGTGTGTGTGTGTGTGTTTGTGTAGTTATTAAATCGTGGTATATCGCCCAGCCTGGGGCCATATAAATAATGATAACTGCACGTGTAGTTCAGCTCTCGGTTTGATACCTGTCTCTTGTACGTCTCCAGCTGGCCCTTGGTAGCATTCGCTTTCCGTAGCTCCTCTTCCAAACCCACGTTGCTCTGCATTAACACCGTGTTCTTCTCCTCTATAAGCTTAATCTGGAAAAGAAGAAATATATATTCTTTTTAGAACTCGGAGAGATACATATTTCTGTTAGCCTAACTATGTCTCTGACTAATCAATGGACACTCTGCAAAGCATTGTAGGGAACATTGAATAGCTCCAACACAATAAATGAATCAATCCAATTGTATTTATATAGCCCAATATCACACATTAAACATTTTTCTTAGGGGGCTTTACATTACACTTTTTTAAATAATAATAATAATAATAATAAATTAACAACATAGAAATAAACAGTCCAAATGACAAAAAAGTGAACAAATGTATATTTAAAAAAAGCATCTAGGTGGATTTCAATGAGCTTCCAGGTACCACCAAAGCATCTTTAAGTGGGCATCAGACAGGACCATGCCAACATTGTTTTTTTTGCTTCTACTGTCTGCGTACCTGTCTCCTGAGCAGTCCCATGTCCTCTAGTTTCTTCTTGTAGTGTTCCACTGTGCCCTCCAGCTTTGACACTTTGTCTGATGAATGCCTGGGGAGGGAATCAACATACACTGGTTTTACATTTAGAAAGAAAAGGAGAGGTGGCAGCTTTGCTAACGCTCTGTTTGTGTAGCAACACACCTGTAACAACAGCAGTCTGAAATAACAGGATAGCAGTGGTTCAACAAAACATTCATTATCTTGCGTCATCCCCTGTTGTTCTACCTATCCATCCCCAACAGGCTTTTGGAATCCCTTCTCTCGTTCAGTTTACTCTCCTTAGGTTTAAAACGGACAACATTTTGCATCCGTGTCTTACCTGAGGACATCCATCTCGTCCTTGAGCGACTGGGCTTCGTCAGCCAGTGACGAAAGCTCTTCATTCTGCGACTTCACATCCAGGAGTTCTTTGTCAAGCTCCTCACAGCGGATCCGGTAGTCATCTTTTGATGCCTCCAACCTAGATTTTGACGTCAGCATGAGTCAGTTCGACTTTCACTGTTTATATAGCAAGAAACTCACTCTATTTCCAGCTAGTTGTACCTGAACGTTTCCTCCTGAAGCTGCTCCAGTTGTGTCTGCAGCTGGAGGTGTCTGCGTCCTGCAGGGCTGTTGATATCCTCGATGGAGTCAGACTGGTTGTGTCGCTCCATCAGGACCTGGTTCTCCGCTAGCAAACTGCTCTTCTCCTCTTGCAGCGCAGCCACCTGTGGGAGGGGAGAGGGCGAAGGACGCGCACAGAATGGAAGTGCAATAAGAAGAAAAGATAGTTCAGGAGTGAGATACACAGATTGGATGGAGAGGGAGAAGAAAGATATTTGGAAACAGGAAAGGTGAAGGTCAACATCGAACGAAGGATGGCGCAGTTGAGGTGTAGAGAAGGATGGAAAGAAAGAATGTTCAAGATAGAGAGAAGAGAGACAGAAAATGGGAATAAGTTACTTTTCAAACGATATATGTCAAGGTACTTAAATGTAGAATTTCTGTACAAGAATTCCAAAGGTTATTAAATCACTGCAGCATGAACTCTGGTAATAAAGCAAGCATACATCAAACGCACTTCAACAGGGCAGACCAACACACTCCAGCATAGCAGAGAGGGCTACATGTGGTTTGATGTTGCCTTCTCAATGGGACAGACAGGGCATCAAGCTCCACACAAAACAACGCAGAGGCAGTTCTTTAATTGTTTGTTTTAAATGTGGCGCTAATTAATTACTAACACTCAAAATATGAACTGATCTTAATATATGTGATAAGGAAATATAACTGTAACATGATTAGGCAAGGTTATTAAAAATAAATACATCTATTTACCCGGCATGTAAAGCCAGCACATACCATTGTTTCTCAACCCTTTAAGAATTTGCCAGGATCAATTGGATAAAATCTAAATAATGTGAATGCAAATAAATGTCATTAGCCTTTTCTTCTGACATACTAGCACATCTATGTCTTTTTTAAATGTTGTTGAATAGTTCTATGTGAAAGATGGAGTCCATTTAAATGTTTGTTACATTGTTATGTGAAAGTGTTTTCGATGATCAAGCACCCCTTTGAAAATGCTCTCACGGCAACGAGCCTGTATACCATTAGCGTTGTGATCTCAAAAGTTCAAAAACATGGGGCGGGAGTTAACCTAATAAAAAAAAAAAATACATACTTAATATTGAGTTACACTACAAGCAATTGTTCTGCTCCATTATTGCTAACCAGAGATATTTTTTTATTTTTATATATACACTGAACAAAACGCAACACTTTTGTTTTTGCTCCCATTTTTCATGAGATGAACTCAAAGATCTAAAACATTTTCGATATACACAAAATAACCATTTCTCTCAAATATTGTTCACAAATCTGAAAAAATCTGTGATAGTGAGCACTTCTCCTTTGCCGAGATAATCCATCCCACCTCACAGGTGTGGCATATCAAGATGCTGATTAGACAGCATGATTATTGCACAGGTGTGCCTTAGACTGGCCACAATAAAAGGCCACTCTGAAACGTGCATTTTTGCTTTATTGGGGGGGTCTGGGGGGGTCCGAAAACCAGTCAGTATCTGGTGTGAGGGTTAGGATTAGGATTAGGGTTAGGGTTAGGGTAATGTTGTGAATCGAGTGGCCTGTGTTCGTCGTCCATAACATACGCCTGCCCATACCATAACCCCACCACCACCATGGGCCACTCGATTCACAACATTACCCTAACCCTAACCCTCACACCAGATACTGACTGGTTTTCGGACCCCCCCAGACCCCCCCAATAAAGCAAAAATGCACGTTTCAGAGTGGCCTTTTATTGTGGCCAGCCTAAGGCACACCTGTGCAATAATCATGCTGTCTAATCAGCATCTTGATATGCCACACCTGTGAGGTGGGATGGATTATCTCGGCAAAGGAGAAGTGCTCACTATCACAGATTTTTTCAGATTTGTGAACAATATTTGAGAGAAATGGTTATTTTTTTGTGTATATAGAAAATGTTTTAGATTTTTGAGTTCATCTCATGAAAAGTGGGAGCAAAAACAAAAGTGTTGCGTTTATATTTTTGTTCAGTGTATATATATATATTAACATCACATCTGAGTAAAACACAGTTTGTGTAAAAATGTGACATATCTTCAACAGTTTAGCCAAGAAATGACCCTCCTGTGTTCCCCCCTTAGTTTCTACAGTTGCTGTGGGAAAGCAATGAAACACACCAAGGTAAAAAGGCAGAGGATAATTAGTGAAGGGGTGACAACTGACACACCCACACAAGTTTCCTGAGAGGACCACGTGTGTAGACGTGTGCACAAACACTTGTGCACATACGTCTACACACACACACACACACATGCACACATAGTTAGGAGAGCCAGGATTCCTAAAGGGGGATGCCGGTGCAAGCAGACTGAAAAGGAATCCAGGACTATTAGACACACCACACAACATGGATGGAAAAAAGAGACAGAAAGAAAAAGAAAGTTTAGATTTACCCTCTCTTCTAGCTCATTATAGTCTAACCTCAGTCTATCACGCTCCTCTTGGACATGGAGGGCCTTTAAAGCAAGGCACAGTGTTGGAAAAAGTCAGGAAACAACACAACAGGAGAGCAGGCGACTCTTTAAATTGCAGCTCCATTTTTTTATTTTTATTGCTGTGTCATTAGCAGAAAATAAAGAGAAGTGAATATGTTCACTATGATCTGCTTTCAATATAGATATAGGGTGTGTCTCTCTTTCTGCAGCAGATTATCACAATTCAATTTAAAAATAAATGATCTGACAAGGACATATTTAGGAGGGTACAAGAAAGGTTTAATCAGTAGAAAGCAAATCATGCAAAGAAGGGTGCTGCTTTTAAAGCGTAACCAAAACTAGATATAAGAAGTACATGACAAAACCAGTTAGATAGTGAAAAAGTTACCAAACAGAGGAAAAGTAAAAAAGAAAACTTGGGTAAAGGTGTTATGCAATGTTATTTTCTGGACACACTGAATGCATTGAGCCCCATTAACTACTTCCCTAACTATACATAAGGCTCATTCATCGTTTCAAATTGCATTGTCCTGACACAACTATTTTAGATCAAGGCTATTTATACATTTGACCAGGAGTCCTAACAATAGCAAACAAAGACAAAATAGTTCCTATCTGGGGGTGTGTTGTCTTTCTGGTTAGGTCAGAAACGTGACGCGAGAACCTGCAAACTGTGCTAGGATGTACAAGAACAGAGGTCAAACCGCGTTAAAAATAACACCAACCTGCATGTCCAGCTCACGACACCTCTGGGAGATCTCCTCCTTGGTAGACAACGCATCATTCAGATCCTCTGCTGTCTTCTTCAGCTGAGAACAGAAAGAAACAACAAATAAAAACACTGAAGAAAAGCTGGATCACCCTGAGATGTTTGTGAGGCAGTTTATACACAGAAATGAAACTAAAAAGCCTAGTGCTCCTGCTAAGGCTATTTGTTCCCTGTACTCCCAGCTCTTTTACAGGTATGTGTCCAAAAAGTAGAACATTAGTTGTGGAGGACACCTGGGTCAATGCATTAGGTCACAAGTTATAGTGAATACTGTTTGTAAGATCACGAAAGGTGTCTGTGCAATTTCAAAGTTTGGCTTGTGACTTTAACCTAAAAGTGAAGTCTATTACAGGGAATTTATATTTAAACTTTAAATATTTTTCGTGAATCTGTTTAAAACAGACATGCATTAAAAGGCATCACAGTGATGTTATACAAAGTGTCCATACCTGTCTGTCTAGATCCACATATGAGTCACTGCCCCCCAACACCGGAGTCTCTTTACTCATCAGCTGCAGGAACACACAACAACAACAACAGGTTCATATTTGGAAGAAACATACATTAAAATAAAGACAGAAATAAATATGCTGCCTGAAACAAGAATATAAGTGGTAGGTTTAAGCTAGCTGCAAGTTTATTGCTCAGAAACTTGCCAATTTCAAAAATAAATTGTACACAAAATATATGTAAAGCTGTTATTTTGTGTGATGTTACAACAACAAAAAACACAATAAAATTTGACAAAACTTCAGTACTCAGAGTTGTAGGACTATTTTCCATCAGTAGACATATCTAAGTTGATTTTATTTTTGGTGGTTTGAATTGGAAAAATATACATGACCAATCTTGCCTTATTCTCATCATTAATCTATCATTATAATAAACAGGAAAGTTCACCTCTTGGATGGCTGTCATGACAACATGCTGCACCGACTCCTCCATCATCATTATGGTCTGGATGTATTCTAGAGAACATAAAGAAAGAGACAGAATGAAGGGGGGCATTTGAGGTCAGCGCTAAAGGTCTCCTATCATGCTATTCTTAGGCAATAGCATAGGTCTCAGATATATACAAATATATAAAAAACATGTCTATAAAGTGTTTTGCTCAAAATACCAAACAGATCACCCATTGTAGCCATGCCTCATCATATCCCTCTATTTCACTTCCTGTTTCAAAAGTGCTGATTTTGGGTATAAAGCTGTAAAAAAATTAAGAAAATTGATTTAAAAAAGAGGGGCGGAGCTTATGCGGGAGATTCTACCAGCAGATACTGCCATGATGAAACACCATATCATGGATTATCAAGGATTATTTCTGAAACAGTATGGAGCTCAAAGGCTTTCTCTCTTGCCGGTTATACCACAAGGTGAGTTCCTTTTTATTTCCTGCTTCTTCACACACATGCTCTCTCCAGTACAGGTTAGCTCTGAGTGTTAGCGATGCTAATGTAAACAGTCGGG